GCAATGGCAGTTCTTGTACAAGACGAATCGACAATACCTGACACGATGTCTACAAACATTTATGTTTGAATGTGGACGAGCACAAGCAACACTGTCCACCACAACACTACAATCAGACCAAGAAGAATACATACAGAACCTGCTGAAGACAGTCGCACAAAAGCTCGGAAACAACGTCAACATCCGACAATCACCGGCATACTCGTCACAATCACAAGGAAGCATTGAACGATTCCATCGCACCTTGATGGACAAGTCCGAGCACTGGTACAACAAGTGACCACAAGCTACAACCTCACACTGAGCGTACAACATCCGGTCATGCCGTGGATCGTACGGCGTGCAGCCTGGCTACTGAACAGGTATGCCATGCGCAATGATTGACAAACAAGTTACCAAAGACGATGGCAGAAGGACCACAAAGCACCACTATGCGAGATGGCAGAAACAGTACAATACATGGTACCAACAACAAAAGCACAACCCAAGATGGAGCCAAGATTCTTCAAAGGAATCTGGCTTGGCAGGGATACAATGACTGGAGAATCAATAGTCGGCATCCCTGGCAAGGTTATCAAAGCAAGAACAATTCGAAGACAGATCACGCCAGACAAGTACGACAAGCAACTATTGGATACCGTCAACGTGTATCCATGGAATTTGCCAACAGCACCGATGGCAGTTCCAACACAATTGCTTCTACCAGCTGACAATACCACAAACAGACAAGCAATTGGCACACAGGCTGACACTACAATGGAAGATACAAGCACGCAGACAGTACAAGAGACACCACTGGCATTACCAGCGCCAGCAATGCATCATCAGCCAATGGATACACCAATGGCAACATCACCATTGGCAACTTCACCAACAACAATGGCAAGACCACGACTGCCAGTACCACCAGTAAGCAAGCGACAACATGAGGAGCCTACAGGCGAAGCACAATCCAAACAATCAAGGACAGCACAGTCCTCAACAGCAGCAAACAGAGGACAAGATGAAGAACAACCAAAAGCAAAGATGAGAATACAAGCAGCGACAATCACCACAAAGAAAGGTGACAAGATCACCACAGCATCCTGTGAAGATGAACAAGAAGCAGAAGTGGAAAGGATGCTACAAGAACCCTTCGTCTACGACAATGAAGGTCTTGGCCCACTGAAAGTACAACAAGGAATGAAGAAAGAAGCACAATCAATGAAGACACAAGGAGTGTTCACAGAGATGAGAACTACAATGATGTCCCAGAAGAACACAAAAACAAAATCATAGAGTCCAAGTGGGTCAACAAACCCAAACAAGATGAAGTACGATGTCGCTTAGTAGCAAAAGGTTTCCTGGAAACAATCCAAGACCTTGACAACATCTATGCGAGCACACCGATCTTTGGGATCTTGCGCATCCTACTGACAATGGCGCAGCGTAACCACTGGACGATACAAGCAGGAGATGTGTCAACAGCATTCTTGCATGCACCAGCAGCTACAGACAATCTCTACATGTGGCCACCACCAGAACTATACCAAAGTGGTCGCAACACAACCACAGTGTGGAAGCTCAACAAAGCAATCTATGGACTACGATCAAGTCCAAAATCTTGGCAAGATCACTTTGCACAAGTCCTGCAACAAATGGGACTGACTCGACTGACAAGTGAACCCAACGTGTACAGGAACAATGAACAGACAATGTTCGTGATGGTCTATGTGGATGACCTACTCTTCCTGGGACAACAGCAGGAAGTCGACAAGACTTTCAAAGAGGCACAAAAGCATGTACTACTACGACCAACCGGCACATTGGGAATTGGTCAGATAATCCAATTCCTTGGCAGAGACATCCACAACAATGGAGACCTCTTTGAGGTGAGCCTGAAACCAGAATACATCACCACATTGCTGAAGGAAACAAAGATGGAAGCAAGCAGTCCAGCATCAGCTCCAGGGACGGTAACCCTGAAACAATCCACCAACGATGATGCACCCTTAGATGCACAAGAACATGCAGACTACAGGAGGGCAGTAGGAAAGCTACAATGGCTGACCTACACAAGACCAGACATCAGCTTTGCAACAAAAGAACTAGCGCGAGACCAACAACCAACACAGCAAAGCCTTCGCAAGGTGAAGCACCTCCTACGATACCTCAGGGAAACGCAACACTACAAGATGATCCTGAGGACAACACATACACCACAAACAAAGGAACCCATCGACCTCAACATTCATGTCGATGCAGACTGGGCAGGATGCCCAAGCACAAGAAAATCAACAAGCGGATTTATCGCGACAATGATGGGATCCGTGGTACAATTTGGAAGCAGGACACAAGCAGTAGTAGCGCTATCATCAGCAGAATCAGAGCTTTATGCAATTGGCACAGGAGCACAAGAAGGACTACATATAGCAAACTTCATCAAGGAAGCAACAACAACAAAGGTGAACATTCGCATACACACTGACAGCACAAGCGGCAAAAGCATTGCAACAAGAATTGGCTCATCAAAGAAAGCAAAGCACATTGACCTGGAGTACGTCTTCATACAACAACTGGTACAAAGTGCGGTACTGTCAATACACAAGATCAGCACACACGACAACCCAGCAGACATACTGACAAAGTATGTTTCGGCAGAGGTGCTTAACAAACACCTCTACATGGCGGGCATTCAATGCCCACAACACCACAACTGAACAGCGGCCGTACACACAGTTTCACAACCGTGGCAGCACCAATGCGTGTACAACACACATGGGCGCGTCAAGCCATGGCACACTACCTTAGCTACTATGTGCATACTATGTCATAGACAATATGTACTACAAGATTTTTGAGTCTCACAATAAGCCCGGCTTTCATTTCGTCGTTTCGGAGCACAATCCGAAGAACAATGTGTTTGAAGTTTTGCATTTTGAATTTGAAAGACAATGCATGTTTTGGTTGACAATTTGTCGACAATCCATGACCGCAGCCGCTTTTCCAGCTCACAATCCGTGACAATCTGGATCGACACTCTCGAGAACAATCTGGAAGTTGAAGATGGCAGCTGAGATGACAATCCCAGACTACCACAACCAGAGCAGGTTGCCCACGGGATCTACAATCTCGCTTCAACGTGGACAACATCGAGAGCACGATTCTGCACCCAGCGAATTACAAGGATGTGGCATGGGCCGATGCCCTAGATGACAATACGACCTACTGGTTTTCAGCGGTCACAATGACCGAATATGGGACCATGCTGAACAGTGACGGCAGGGTCGACAAGCTCCCGGGTACAATCCGGAAACCCGGAAATTGGGAGCAATACATAATGGTTCCTACAAGTGAGGAAGCCATTCAATGGCTCGCAGACCACCAATCCGCGAGCCACACCATGTCGAACAATGAGACGGTGTTGATCGCGATTGCCTTTGAGGGGCACAATCTGATCCACCACATGTCACAAAAGATGGTGACCTCATTCCAAAGGGGATACAGCGTGCAGGTACTACAAGTCCATGCACCCTACAACTACAGCATGACAAGGACGGAGATGGACAACCTGCGAGTGATCCACCTGCACTACAATGCCATCGATAAGTTCGACAGGTACAACTGGGAGAACGGCTGGATTTGGCTCTACAGCCACACAATCCATGTGAGGACAATGTTGACTCTTCCGGAAGATTCACCGCATCATACAATCTTCGGAATGGCATTGGCACACCTCGGACAATTTGGCCAGTCACAATTGCCGCCAGAAGTGCAATTGGCTTTGGGAGTCTACAAGGCCGACAAGAAAATCGACACGTATCATGTGACAATCCCGAAGCGACACCAATGAGGGCATTCAGAACATAGTTCCTACATCAAGGAACGAGACAGGACAATCGACCTGGAACAATCTGAGGACGATGAGGATGGCAAAGGGACAAAACGTCCCAGACAATCCACTGAGACCTTGGACAATACGGTCGACTCCATGGAAGGCTAGAACAACGGTTCGACTAGCGGCCTGGCTCCAGCGGAAACAATGCCATACGAGCACCACGAAAAGAATGGCAACAAGCTGGAAGAACAATGTCGAGAAGATGTACAGACTTGCACACAATGCTTTGAACTGATTTGTACAATAATGTTTCTTTACAGTTTCAACAATGGGATGTTTATGGTGATGGTGTGATTCAACAATGAATCAAACCAAGGGACGGTGTCAAGCGACAAGCTCTTTTACAATAGTTCATTTACTCCATCGTACTGTTCATGTACAATTGCACGGTGCTGTACAATGCACCTTGGATCGAGGCCTTGAGCCTAAGGACAGTTGCCAGAGGAAAACAATACAGAGACGTGCACAAACAAACGGCAAACAAACAGCTGCTGAATTTTACAGGGGAGAGAGAGAGAGAGAATCAGAGAAACGACAGCAATAATTGCACTCAGCTTTGTTGCATTTGCTGTGAAGTCACTGCTACGACTTGTTTTGAGGATTGAGACCCATTCAGGGCGAGCAAACAACAAAGTAAAAGGCTTGCTGAGGTTGTAGCTGCCGCCCTAGATGTACATTATATTTCATATTGTTTACCGAGCCATTTGTAGGCGGGGTTGGAGGAGGTTGAAGGATGCCACAACCACGAGCATCACATTCAGCGCTACAGCAAAAGTGCTTATACAAAGTGAATACGGTCAGCACCGGCACAGTTTAATATGGGCTTAAGCAGGCTTTAAGCCTTGATAAGCCTTGAATCACGCGTTTTACCCTTGCTCGCGCGAATACTGATCCGTGGATGGAGCAATCTCAATAGTTACACTCTGACTCACTAACATGGAAGTGGAGAACCCTCAAGAAGGCGATGGAGAGAGAGAGAGAGAGAGTCTTCCAACTTCGAAGGGACCATTTTCCACTTCCAGGTTAGTGAGTCAGAGTGCACTCGTTGTGCAGTCATGCTCACGTGCAACTAGTGCTGAGCAAAGACTGGGATGCCCGCATGACGTTGGCTGCTCCACACCAGGCTGCAACTGGAAGTCAAGCCGACCTGGGTGGCAAACTGAGTGACCGAGCCCAATAAACTCATTCAATGCTTGACCAGCACTTCGGATGTGATAACAACTCAGAAAAGAAGACCATGCAGTGTGCTTTGGAGAGACGATCCTTTGGCTTGAACCCCTTTGGCAGTGGTTTTGGCACGTCCAGGCTCCCCTAGATCATATCCTTTCTTTTCACGTTCAGGCTCTGAAATCTCATCAGAAGGATGGCTACAATTGGCTCATGTCTCGGGCCACTGGACAGATGGGTGGGGCATCCCAAGGGCTACAGGATTTTCAGTCTGGCCTTTTGCAATTCAGTCCAGAAGTACGTAGTAAAGACAATTCGTCCAAGAAACGAGCTGAGCCCTCCCAAAGGGTTGACAGAACACTCCTTATCAAAGCCATGGCACGCACGGAGAATCATGGAGAGTCATATCCGATCCTGTGTTTTCGACTCATCCCTACTTGTTTGCAAGCTGACCAAGGGAATCATATGCCTTAGTGACAGTGACTGGATCGGACGCGACTGAGCTGATCAACCTCCGCCCAGGTGCATTGCTGGCTGATGCAATGGGCCTTGGCAAGACCCGTCCGTGGCGTAGCAGTGACCGGGCGCGTTCCTGTGTAACATCGTCACGAGGTTCGCCTGAACTCTCAGCCTCAATCAGGTGGTTCGACACATGTCCACATCAATGTGCGCATGTTCACTTTCTTCTGACCCTGCGCTGTTTGCGCAGTGCTGGCATGACGCAAAGCTCCTTCCCAGGTCAAGCCATTGCCTACATCCTGGGAATCCGTGCGGGCCTGCCGGCACCTTAGAGCCGGTCCGATGGGGAGATGACGGCCATGCACGTCCGCAGTCCATGCCTTTCCAAGGAAATCGACCGCTTCCGATGGACCTCCAGGCGCTGGTCGCGCTGGACGTCCGATGGAAATCGGTGACCAAAGAGGGTCGCGTTCAGCAAATCCCACCGCTTGGGGTCGCTGAATTCTGACACCGAGTCGACACCCGTCGACTCGGTGTTTGAAATTCTTTTTGGGGGGGGCTGCGGTGGAGTTGTTCGCCATATTTTCACCAGATGTCCTGATTGTCCTGCCTTCTTTGTGCTGCTTGGATGCTTGTTTTCTTCTGCGCGGTGCGCGTCTGGGAACGAATCTGTCCTACTGCTTGGTGGGCGCCAGGGGTGAACACTTGACGGAACTCGGAACTCCCTTGGATTGGAATCGCAATAATTATATGACCCTGACATACCCTGACAAAATGACAGGAAAAGTCTGAGTTGTGCCACCCACATTCACCATGATGTACGCGAAAGCATGTGAATTCGGGAAAATTGTCCCAAACCCTCCATGATAAAGCGCTGCAAACACGAGGTGAAAGCTTTGCCGCAGCCTCAGCTGCGCTTGTCGAATTCAGCAGGCACTGCATATAAGGCATACATAAGGCATAATTACAGCATCATACAGCCATTGTTGGCAAGCTCAACTCCAGTCAGCGACCTCAATGCAGCAGGTTTGACCTTGTTCTTGGTATTTGCACTAACGGTATTTGCACTAAAAAGTTTAACGACTTCCAGTAGCTCTTAGGGGGAAAGGCATCTGAAAGAATGTACAGTTGGAAGGTGAATTATAATATACCCACACATAAGTTCAATTATGAATTATGACACTTGATGCTCTGACAATTCCACAGAACATAGAACTTAGAACGATTAAGGCAGATGATTTTTCATCCGCAATGGGAGCTTGAAGCGATGCAGCCAGCCCTTTGAACCTCTTAAAGCCGATCACCTCTCGATCTCTGCAGCCACTGGGCTCAGCCCGCAGACACCACGCGTGTTTTTCACTGTCCCGACGACGTCGGAGAGGCCACGTCGATCCGAAGGGTCCAATCAAGTTGAGACAACTAGGAGCAAGGACGCTACGAACGGGGCTCCTGGCTTACCACTAGTAACAAGAAGCTACTAGGGGCTCCTGGCATCGCTACTAATTAGTAGCAATTTCCGATCCAGAGTTGTGTTGTCCAATTTGGTAAGAACTGTCGCCGTATCCCTCAGCCTGGAACCAGGGGAGCGATGCCTCTTTGCGTGTCGCTGATCAGCGGGAAGGCCACTGGGGCGGTTGGCACAGGAGAAGATGAGTCGGAAGAATGCACGGCCCTTATACTGCTGTATGCTGTTGACAGCAATGCATCCTGCACATGTGCCACGACATTGGGAGGCAAAGGCATGTAATTAGCGGCTTGTAGATCCGGTAAATCCGGATCCTGCAAGGACTAGTGACTACTACATGCCATGAAAACATGCACTTGTTGGACCAGCTTTGTTGGAAGTGACCCCTATCATCCCCTATCAACGTGTTTCGCACTTGCCAGACTGTGGTAGAGCTGGAGCACTTTGATGGCAATGGCCTGGAGCTTCGTGAACGCGTTGGACGGGAGATGAGGGTGACGCCACAGAGGCTCAGGCGGGGCTGCAGTATCCGAATAGAGGACTGTCCCTCGATGTTGAAACCTGTTGTACTTGACTTGTGGCCTTTTTTGTTCAGAATCCTGTGGTATCTGGTGTGCAGGCTGGTGATGTCTGACAACTCTGAGATCAAGAACGAAGAGATGCAACTCAAGCGTGTTTAGTTGGTCCATGAATGTCCATGATTGTCCGAATGGGGGCACTTGTAGATAGGAAACCGACGCCTAAGACCCCAGGCCTTGTCCCGATCAGTTTAACTCGCTGGCAAATCGCACGCGGGGACGTGAGGATAACGAATAGCGACCAAGCTGTAACAGCTATGGTGGGCGAAGGGCAAGAGCTGCCAGAATGGTGTTGCTTGGCTGCCATGTGGGAGCAGAGGCGTTTGAAGTGGAACCACTTTGAGCATCAAGAGCTACTGGTATGACTGTGTGCTGCTTTTTGTCCATCCTCCCGAAGCCTTTCTTAAGTCCAGAGGCGTCCTTTCCTCGCAAGTCCAATGGAAGGCTCTTCCATCTCCAGACGTGGCGTGTCGAGTGTGTCGAGGTGAGGCAGAGATGGAGTTCTTCTCCTTCAACGCACTGGAGGATGGTCTTAGTCTGCCAGAAGGATCGCTGGAGATCAGCCCCAAAGTTTTGGGGAAGGTCATCATGCTAGCCATCGCTAAGGCGGACCGACCGCGCGTCCATGACTCCCTTGGATTCCCTTGCTTTTTAGGAAGATTGGATGATGGAAGATTGGGATTTGGATGTGAGAGATGCTGGTGACACTGAACCTGGCCATGATTAGAATTGATTGGACAATTCTCTCAATTAGATCTTGAGTCTTTCAGATGAGGGTCGACGAGGCTGAAGGGTGTTTTGGTGTGTTTTCCACTGCCACGGCTGATCAGTCGCGCAGCACAGGTGTCTGCAGCTGCAAGGCGAAAATACAACCAAGCTTTGAAGGACCGTTGGTGCCGAACGGCCCGCCAAAGGAAATCAAAGACATTCTGTGAGTCTTTGGGAAGACTTTATCTACGCTGCTCAATGGTGTGTGCTTCTCCAGGTCCTTAGCTAGACTACTCGTAGACTACTCGTAGCTGTCGTGGGCTGCAGGCTGGGCCGCAAACGGCGGCAGGTGAGGGGGACTCTCGGGAGCGACCGAGACTTGGGAGGACAGTGGCATGCGACACTCATACTTCGACTGGAGCCCTGAGCAAGACGTTCTGGACGAGGAGAGAAAGAGAGAATGAGCCCGAAACCGGCCGAAGAAACCGGAGAAAGGGTGCGGCATGGGCTTTTTTTCTACATGTTCAACAACTTTCATTGACATGCAAAGGGAAAAACATGTGCAAAGCCATGGATCTTGAGACTATCTGCCCAGAGCGGCTTGCGGCTTGCTGTGGAGCCTTTCTTTGGGGCTTGAGCGGCTTGATCGGCTAGCCAGGAGGAGGTGAACAACGTCTGGCTGTATCGAACGGCCGAGAGGGATGCTTGGACTGAAGGAGTCGAAGAGCAGCTGCGCACGGCTCGGGAGTGGTGCCCAGGGAGTGGCCGGTCAAGGCGAAAAGAAATGGCGCCACTTAGACTTCAGCCATTTTTGCACTTATTTCTTTTGATGTGGCCTATTGATGGTCTTTTACAGGTATTTCTTTTGTCCTGTGCCAATGAAACGGGTCAGGGCGGTCAGACGTTGATTCAGTACCGTACAAGGCTCATTCGTTAATTCCTGAAACTTGTGCCGAAGCGTGTGTGCCACTGTGCCCAGGAGGCCTTCCCAAAACTGAAGCCACATTGGAGTCTTAGCAAAATGAATCAGGACCATTGGGAGCAGGGCTCGGTCAGTCGAGACTGGACTGTTGATGACTGTTGGATGATGTTGGATGGTACTTGTGCAATAGAAAGTCACTCAGAAATGCCTTTTCAGCGGAGAGTGTATGTCTGAAGCATGTGCCAGGTGAAGAACAACGGTTTGTGTTTTGGTCTCCACACGGCATCAGCTTGTCACAGATGTTTTGTTGCAGGTCAGGTCAGGACCAACGGCTGCAAGGTTTAAAGCCATCAGACAGCCAGATATTTGTCCTTTGCTGCCGGCAGCTTCTTAATTAAGGCAAGAAGCACATGATGTGCTGGCCAAATGCAAGAAAGCGGTGCCTCGACTCGACGATGTGGATGTTTGGTGGAGGAACCGATCGTTCTCTTTCTTGCACCCGATCTTGGCACCAAAAAAACAGCCACTCCTTTAAAGCTGCGCACATTTTGCCAAGGCCTACAGCTTTGCGAAGCTAGATGATCGCTTGAAGAACTCTAAGAACTTCTTCTACTCTCGATGGGAGGTGTGATATTGTGCGATGCTGCGGTGCTGTTCCAGCTTGGCAAGTTGCTTTACATAGGCATTGCACCATTCCAGTGGGTTGTTTGTTTCTACTCGCATGGAATGACCGGGAATCGAAAGGTGACAGAAAGTTTGAAGTCGCCAGGGACCTGGAGAGGAGAACGGAGGCAAAAGACATCGAGTAGCTTGGCCAGTTTGCACCAGCTTGAGAAGCATTGCTCCCTCCAATGGCGGGTTCAGTAGTTGTGAACTAGCTCGTTCCCATATCTGCCTTTATCAATGCCAGAGTCCCTGAAAGCCTCCTAGCACCATCGCCGGGCCATCTCTGATTTGCAAGCTCAACTGCTGCCCCCCAAAAAATATTTATCTATTGAACTTCAACTGCTCCTCATTGTTGTCGTCCTCTCACTTCTAGGTCTATGGTATTCGTCAAGAGTTCTCTGCGGTGGAGTTCGTTCGAGTCTTCGACCACTTCTTGGAGTTGGACGGCCGCTTCGACCAGGCCCGGCCACGGTGCTGTCGGCGTATTCAGGAGCGATGGTCGTGACTAGTGGCTTCTTGTTACGTTCGTAGCGATGGTATCCAACCTAATAATAGCATTGGCCTCCACCTAGTAGATTCTTCAAGAAGCTAGTAGTATATAATGCCAAGGGAAAGGAAAGCTATGAAGAACTGAGTCTCAGCTTGTTTTTGTGGGCTCTGAATGACGAGGGGCCGTAGGTCACCGGGCCCTCTCATCCCTGGCAGAAAGACTCTGATAGAAATCGGGATGATGTCAGAAATCGGGTTGAAATGAGACGAGGGGAAAGGGTGGTGTTCATTAAACCGAACCTGCTTGTTACATGTTGTTACTGTTTTTGGGGATCATGGACAATAAGAGCACCTGGTGTTGTCAAGCGTGCAGCAAGTGCAAAGATTAGAATCAGTGGACCATCCAAGACTTAGCCAACAGGCGATTGGTGTTTGATTGTTTTTGCATCAGAAGGGATTTCTACAGCTTCAAGATTCTGATGTTTTGCTCGGCTGTAAGGGTTCCCATGCGGGGGGTGGCGAGTTGCTTTATCCCGGGACGCGGCAAAAGCGCTCAGTTGGCTGCTCGGAGTTTGACCTCCATGTGGCAAGAGCGCTGCTGGGCTTGTCGGAGGTGTTCTTTTGGTCTAAAGCATCTAATGTATAAACCCAACAACGATGACATTGTCATGACCTTGAGATGCCGGAAAGCAGTAGATCATCCTACGTAGGACATTACATACTATATATCATACTATCATATACTTACTATATATACATGACGGGTCGGAGACTGGGGGTGCCGGAGTTCGTCCAGTGCGGCACAAGCGAATTGGTCCGCAGGGCGAAGACTCAGGGAGTAGAACGTACAAACAGCCGGGGCAAAGATGGGTACAAACACCAATTGAGGCACGTGGAGACTTTGGCTGGCAAATGATGGATTTTGCGGCAATTGAACTTATGACTGAAGAGCGTAAACCTGACTTGGTGCATAGACACCCCAAAACTGCTTGAATTATATATCTCTCCCTAGTTTGCCTGAAGAGCGGTTGGCGTTGCCGTGCAAGTTCTGGGATGTTCAGGCACAAACA